ACCCAAGTTATTAGTTTCCCTGTATCCAGTTTCAATTTCTGTCTCAAATTCTTTCCCTCCACCATGGTTACCTTAGTGGGGTCATTTGAGGGAGCATTGGGACTCTCATCTCTTCTAGGTGTAGGAGGGTTTATGGATTTTGAATCTGTCTATGGGCTCAGCTCCTGAGAAGGAAGCCCCAGTTAAGCATCTCCCCAGGTCTTAGAGCTAAGGATGCTCAATTTATGGCAATGACTATGAGTTTTAGAGTTTCCCATCTAGACATAGGTCCCCACAAGGCAGTACCTGACAAGCATCAAGCTATCACCTGAGCATTAAGAGGCTAGGTGATGTTTAACCAGGGCCTCCCCTCTAGAAGGCTTTACAGACACTAGGAGCAGGAAAATTATTAGGCTCTTTTGAGAGTCAGTTTTGTAGAGTGGAGTGTAGGACTACTGTCCATTGTTCACTCTGATAGGAAGCTGGAGCAACATGGATTTAGGTATATTGAGTACAACCTTGTTCGGCCATGTTGAACAGCTGTCTTGGTTATGAGCAGGAATTGATATGGTCCTTCTAAGTGGGATCTCCTTCCAGGCTTTATTCAGGACATGAGTCTTCAAGTCAGTGAAGGTGAGCTGGAAACGTGAGAGGTTTGAGTCAAAAGGCTTTGCAACCTGAGAGAAAGCAAAGGCAAGGCAAGAAAGGCAAGGCAAAGCCAAGGCAGAGCAAAGCCACGGCCAAGGCAAAGCCAGGCAAGCTTACTGAAAAGGTAGAGCAACAGAAGGTTGTTATTGCAAAAAACAAAACCATTGTTAATCTCATGAACCAAACGGAAAGTCAGCATCCTGATGGGAATGGCCAGCATCTTTCACTCATAGCTCTGCAGTAAAGAACTTACGAATTTTTGAGGTATAGTTTTTACTGTCCGGGTCACTGTATGCATCAATCATCAGTAGAAGTTTGCCAGAGTCTCACAGTTGGAGAAGTGGAGCATCACAATTGTATTCTTCAGGAGGCATCTTTGAGGTGGTTTTTCCTGCAGAAAAGTTTCCTTCTGTTCTTTAAGATCGGCAGGGAAAAAGATTCTGCAATTTTCCGTAATAACCTACATCTTAAGAATTTTTTTATTTACATGTAATCTGGCTCTGTTGAATTTCTAAATCCCATTTAAGTCACTCATTAGGAAAAATGACTCCAGCTGCTTCCTCTTTCGTAAGTCAGTGTTGATGTATATTATTTCTTATTAAAAAATGTGGAGCAGCCTCTCTTATAATAATCTCTCAGAGGGACAGTGTTCTCAGAGAGTGTGTTCTATTCTAAATCATACATGCAAAAAAGAGTTCATGTGAAACTATAGACTCATGAGCCATTCTAAGCTTTTATACTAAACAACAAGAACATGATTGCTAGTCTCTTTCAAAAAACAAGCAGCAGATTTTACAGCAAAATTATCCACAGACCAATTACAAAAAGTAACTCAATGTTAATTTCTTTTAATATTGTTCCAGTATCATTTGGGGAAAATAGAATACTCTGGTTGAGAGAATGGATATGTAGGAAAGTTGTTAAATATGAAAACTTCATTCTTAAGTGCATGTTTATTCAGAACACAACAAAAGTTTTACAAATAAAAGAAAATCCAAATACACAGAAAGCATAATAAAATCTAATTCAGGCCATGATATCTGTTCCTTCCTTGTGTTAGAGATCTTCAATGTTTTAGGTTTATTTGGCTGAAATAAGCAAAGAACTTTAAAAACATTTTACTTGTCATATGTTCCAGTTATTTCTAAGATATGGAAGAGAAAAGAAAGCAAAGAGGAAAACCAGAAACAATATTTCTTTTTTTTATTGTGAAAATACTGTACAGAGGGGTTACAATTACATGGGCAAGATAATGAGTACATTTCTTATCAAGCATTGCAGCTTCCTCCTTTGTTTCCCCTTCCCATCCCTTCCCTTCCCATCCTCCCCCCGCCCCCCAACCCAATCCTCCTCTCTCCGCCCCTGCACCAAAGTTGTAAAGTTCGTTTTCAACATAATGACTTGTACATCTCATTGTTGCAATGGGTCTATCTGTATCCCTGTTTAAACAAATTGTTTTTCCCTTCCCCTCCACAAATTATACCCACATCAAAACAGGGAAAGCAGGGGGTTATACAAAGCAACAAAGAAATAATCTTATAACTGTGTTAGAAACAATCGCATGGAAGAACAGAAACAATATTTCATTCCCCCAGTCTGATATAAAATTACATGGAAATGCTATTTCTCTGGCCCAGTTCTCCCTCCAGCCACCTGGAATAGACTTGCAGTGAAGAAATGGGGTAAGGAAGGAGAAGACTCTGACCTTAGTATATTGTAAGTTCAGTCTGGATTTGGACAGCAGCAGCCAGAAACCCAGGCACAAGCTTTTGCTTGGACACTAATTATAGCAGATGGCATATTTCTTTTCTCGCTCAACAATTTCATTTTTGATGGCAACAACTTGATCTTCCAATTGTTTCAGTTGATCAGCTTTTTCTTGTCTACTTAGATTCAAATCTTGGATCTTCTTTTCTAACTCTAAAAGAAAAGGATGAAAGAAATGATATATGGGCAGCTGATAGATTCTTCCTAGATAATAACTATATAATGCCAGACACAGGAATTTGTGTGTCCCTTGGAGATATGTTAGTTTTGTGTTTGTGTTTTGCCTTAATCACAAAATATTTCTTTTCACCAGGCTTCTTAAGATTTTCTGATAAATCAGGGAAAATTGAGTATCTCTGTCTAAAAATGTTTATATCTAAAAAAGTTTAGTACTTAGATAGAAGTCATTAGAAAGAAGTCATTAGAAATGAAAACACCTCCAGCTTTACTATATTATCAAATATTTTTCTTATTAGTTGAATTAATTATTTCTGGTGGTACTGAGGTTTGAACTCAAGGCTTCTCTCTTGCTAGGCAGATGCCATTTGAATAACACCTCCAGTTCTCAAACTTCCTGTCTGAAACATGTGCTTTACTTCAGCTTTTTCCAGTTTTTCAGGTAAGAAAAGGTTGATGTTTTTGTTCCCTTCTTTCTGTTTCCTTGCTGACACATATACCCATGAATACTGAGAGCAAACTGCTGCCTTTTGAGCTTCATTGTTATCTATCCATCCCTTTATTGGTCTATTAATTGATCCACCCATCTACCTATGTATCTGGGCATTAATTTATTCATTCCTCCTTCAACAAACACTTGAGAAGTCTAGTAAACTTGAATAAAGAGCTCATGTCATAGTGGACATAGGATCTATGGAGAGCTACATATAACAATGAAGTGGTCTTTTGGAGTCAAACTCTTGACCTTAGAAAAAAACTTCTAGAAGCACAAGAGCAAATGTCTCCCCTCAATGGGCAGACCTGAATGCTGAGTTGGTTTGGAGCTATTGTCAAACAAACATGCATTTAGAGAAAAGTGCCAGGCTGCTGAAGGAATCTGAAATTGCGTCCTCTGAGCAAATGTGAACTTAAGTTGTGATGTTGTGTATGATGGCATAGCTATTTTGAAGTATTTGAAAGACCAGCTTAGAAAAGCAGAGAGTGAGTGTGTTCTCTGTCATCCTGAGAAATAAAAGGAAAAGCAGCAGGTGCAACCTTGAAGGAAGACCTTATCTCAGTGGAAAGAGGAGGTTTTGCACGAGCCACAGCCATTCAAAGGCTGAAGAGCTGCAGTGGAAGGTAGTGAGTGTTCAGTCACTAGAGGCTTTCAATAGAGGTCATTTGGAGTTGAAAAGGGCATTCAACACTGGAAGGATATTTGGGGAAAAAAACAGACCCCCTGTTTCTATCAGGTAAGTCAATATGGTCATGCTGTTATATATCCTTGAACACCAACCTCCTGGATAAGATCAGCTGGCTCCCTTCACCTCTGTTTAATTCACATTTGGCCAATGGAATGTGTTGATAAATGACCCAAGGGCCACTGGGGTTCTGGCAGCTTCTTCAATGCAGGGCTCACCAGCTCTGCTTCCCCTGACTCTTCAGGTCTGGTGATGCGAATGGCATCCAGCCCTTCTACACCATCATTTGTTTTCAGAAATTCTATATTCTCTGTGGTTCCATTCATCAAGTAAGTCTGTCTGCCCACTCCCCATTCCATGCTTACTCAACTCGGGCTGGCTGGCTGTTCAAGTTGTTTTGGCCAGTGAAAATGATAGGAAGTGAATTATCAATTATTATTATTTTGTTCTCACTCTCAGTGGACTCTGAAACACCATGCTGTAAATAGTGTCAACGGGGTCCATGGACAGAACTCCCACACCTGAACCACACAGGTTCCTAGCACACCTGGCCAGCTGACCCATCCACTGAAGGATGCAATCCAGGTGGGACCAGAGGAGACCTAGCCAGGCAACCCACAGCAAAACAAGACATGATTGTTTTTAAAGCCATCAAATTCAGGGGTAAATGCTACTGCAGTAAATAGATAGCTATCA